ACCATTGGTGCAGTGCTTGATGCACAGTGATAGAACTTAACTATAAACAATGTGAAAAACAAGATATAAAGAATTATTTACATTCTTTCCCAGCACTTTCCCAGACTTTTTGCCTGGCTAGAAACTCTCAGTTTCTTTCTTTGACTGAATCTGAGTCCCACACACCTTGCCCTTGTTTCAAAAGGTTTCTCCTCTCTCACCTGCAACAATTCTGGGTGTCCAAGTAGGCACCTCTTGGGGTTTTCCCCAGCCCCTCGCCTCAGAGGGGAGAAGAGCAGCTCAGTATTTGGGGGTTCCTGGGGGTCTCCGGGAAGAGGGAAACAGAGAGGGAGAAGTTCTCCCTCCCTGGAGCACTGGGAGCAGAACAGGGAATCCATTCCCCTGCCAGGTGCTCAGCCCAGGTGGGACCATCAGAGCACCTCAGCAGGGCCAAGGTGAAGTCAAACGTTTCCTGCTGATCTCATAAATCAGCAGCTGCATCATTATTGCTCCATGCCTTCCTCTGCTCTGCAGGAGTGGCTATTTGACAATAAAACAATCCCCGTGGAGTGTGCCGGGGTAAATCAGCTCTATCCAGACTCTCTCAGAATATTCCCCAAAGGCAGGGCTGGGGAACAAGTCACCTCCCTCCTCCAGAATCATTCCAAAAGCACCATGTTCCTGGTCCCAAGAGAAAGGCAGGAACAGCCCACTCCTTAACCTCATTTGTCTGTCTGTATGAAGTGAGGCTCTCACCATCTGTCTTTACATCTTCCAGCCCTTTGCCCTTGCACTATTCCTGGCAGCCTGGTGGCTCAGGAAATAGATCCAGGTGAAAAGCAATCCCATTTTTGGCTAGCTGTGGTTTCCAGCAGGAGCAGCTCACTGTGGGCTTCCCTGGCAGCTGAAGGGAGAGCTCTGGAGTGCCCTGCACTGAATTCACCCCCTCAGCTGTGTATTTAACATGTGTATTTGAACCATGTGTATTTAACCAGCAGTAGGTGGGAATTTCACCACACACCTGAAAACCTCATCTGTCCCTGCCCCTGTCACCCTGATCCATCCAAGGGAGCTCTGCTTTAGCCAGTGCTGCTTAACTCTCTGCTGCAAGAACCTGAATTGTGTCAAGGGGGTAAAAAAAGCCTCAAGAATACTGAAAAATTATTCAGATCAAGGGAGTAAAACAGGTGACCTCTAAAAGTTTGCCTTAGATTATTTGGGCATGTTTGCTCTTACTGATAAGGGCACCTGGGGTTTTTTAAACTGTCATTTAAATATTAACCAGAAAGCTCAGCCTTTCCTAGCATTAATGAATTTGGGTTTTGCACTCAAACAACCTTGCTGGTCACCAGCACAGCCCAAAAACCCCAGCTGGAGGAGCCCAGAATGAAGAAGGCACCTGAATGTATTGATGCTTCATCACCAGCCAGGACCCAGGTGTGAAATGCTGGATGCTGGTACCAGTGAAGGGGGATGTTAAATCCCTCCCTGGTTTCCCTGCAGCTGAGGTATTGCTGACAGCAGATTTAATTGCCTTTGTCCTAGCAGGCAGCTAATGAGCATTATGAATAATGCCATGGCTTTCCAGCCCTCCTGAAGCCATTTGTGGGACCTGACTCATAATTCAGCTCGAATTAAAAGGCTGCCAACCTCCTGTGTTACCCTTCTGTTCATACTTTATGCTTATTATTCAGGCTAGTCTTTGGAATTAAAGTGGGGCAGTGGGATAGGGAGGTACTACTAGGTTTTGTTATTTCACTAAAATTCCTCTTGGCTATGTGTCCTGTAATGATCTTCTGTTGTGTTTGCAACTAAACTTATTTATCAAAGGAAAGCAGGGGTGAAAAAAAGTCCACGTTTTTTGGGGGTAACAAGCCTGCTCCATGGAGAGGGCTGGGCTTTGGGCAGTCACAGTCCATGGCTGGCACAGGAATGGGAGCACTCCAGCCCCTTTCATCCTCAGCAGCACTCCTGGAGCAGGAACAGGGCATGCAGAGCTCAGAGGCAGAACAGAGCAGGTAAACTCTCTGTTCAGAACCCAAAAATTCTCCCCAGAGTCCCACCCACCTCCTGAGTTTTTTCCTCCTTATGTTTTGATCCCCCTGGGCTGTCTGGTCTCTGCACCACCACAGCAGCATTCACACCTGTCCTAAGAGGACAGCAAGAGCAAATGTGTTTCACCCAGTTCCTGGTCCTCAGCTCTCCCAGCTGACTCAGGGAAAGACCTGGCTGCTCCAGTGACCTCCTTTTTTTCAGGAGACATTCCTTTTTTTTTTTTCACAGAGCCCCTGGGGTTTGTAGATAAATACAGATATAGATAGATACAGAGAGATACCATAGAATCACAGAATGGTCTGGGTTGGAAGGGATCTCAAATATCAGCTAATTCCAGCCCCCTGCCATGGGCAGGGACATCTTTCACTCAACTGAGTTGCTCAGAGCCTCACCCAGCCTGGCCTTGAACACTTCCAGACTGGATGGAGCCCTGAGCATCATCTACAGATGGAGCTGGACAGAGCTCTGTGCACATCTCTGTGTAAAACCTGATGTATGTATGCACCTCTTTGCCTGTGTGCACCTCTGTGAATCGATTATGGTATCATTGTTATCATGGAGCTATAATTAAGTCATTGTTATAATTGTATAAAATCCGAATGAGTCACTTTTTAAGTGTTAAATTAGTTGATGATTAAGAGTTGCTAACCCCCTCTGCACCTTTTTGTATCCATAGCCTTTACCCCCTTACCCTTCTGCATCTCTGGTCTCTGTGTAAATCATCCTAAATTGACTGTAATCTGATTTTCTTACGTGTGCTTCATCCACGGCCTAAGTAATTGAGTCACCTTTGCCACTGAACTCTAATAAAAATTGCACTCTCATAAATTCATATTTAAACCTGCTTCTTGCCAACACCTTTGAAAATAATTCTTTGAGTGGCTTAACTGCTCATTCTCAGAGGGCTGTGAAGAGGGAGCAGCTTCAGCACTTTCCCCTAAAATATTCAAATCTTTTCAGATCCTTCCCCAGCTGCTGTTTGTATGAGAAAGAGGAGAAACAAACAGAAGAAGTGGAAGCATTGGGCAGCTCCCAGAGCTCTGATATCTGGTTTTGGTGAGACTTGGAATGTGTCCCACACTGGGAGTGCTTGGATGGAGGGTACAGGCTCAGGAGAGGTGTAAGGGAGAGGTTGTGATGAGGTTGCAGTTCGGGATGATGTGGTTCAGAGCCTTGCAGTGGGGATTGGAGGGGATGGAGAAAATGAAATTTGTAGTGGGTGTGCATTACTGATAGCTCAGTATCAGTGAGTTATTCTATAGGCACTTAGGAGAGAATTCTGCACTATCAACCCTGTGGAAGATTTCAACTTCCCAGACACCAGCTGGGAATATCATTCTGCTAAGATGAGCAGATCTCAGAAATTCCTGACTTTTGTAGGGGATAACTTCTTACCACAGACACTCAGTGAGACAACTCACAGAGATGCTCTCCTAGACTTGCTCTTTGTGGCCAGCACAGGACTTTTGTGGGATGTAGTGGTTTGTGGCTGCCATGGCCACAGCGATTGTGAAATGGCAGAGTATAAAATTTTCAGTGTAATGAGAAAAAAAGGACAGCAGAGTTGCTACCCTGGACTGCAGGAGAGCAAATTTTAGGCTATGCAGGGAGCTGTTTTAATGGAGTACACTCAGAAACTGCTTCTGAGGGTTTAAGGAGCCCACAAGTGTAGGTCAGACTTTAGGAACCACCTTTGAGAACCTCTGGAGCAGATGATTCCACTGTGGTTTCAGTCAAGCATGTGGAGCAGAAAGCCAGTTTGGCTGAACAGGGAGCTCAAGAGGAAAAAGAAATCATGCAAGGTCAGGCTTCATAAGAGACAAAAAGCCAAAGTTCCATTAGAATTGAAAGAGAAAACATCACCAAGCCAAAAAACCAGAGACCCATGTTTAGGAAAGGAAATGTATTTTATTGAAAAAAAAAAATTACATTTCACTTATACACCATGAAAATACTGAGTTGTGTGTTATTTTCATAAGAAGAGGTCAAGACTTGCACAAGAAAACCACATTCTTTATTACAGCACTACTCCATGAGATGAGGCTCTGGTGGCATCTGCACTGGGTGTTTTCACTAAACAGTAGAGCAGGGCTAAATGTGCTTTGGGCAAAAACCCTAAATATTGGCCTCTTCCAGGTGCTACTGCCTGTTGAAGACATGGCACTCATTTGGTCAATACTGAATTATTTCTGAATTAAGAGACAAATCTCATAGTTTCTCTACTCACATAGGTCCTAGGCAAATCCACAGCTATCCCTCCCCTCCATTTTTAACAATCTTGATTTCCATGTTCAGCCAGATAAAAGCACGTTAAAGCAGTGTATGGGCTGCCAATCTCCCAGAAAGAAAACAACACTGGAAGGGGATGCATTGCACCAACAAACACTGACAGCCAAAGGCAGGGTCATTGGGTGGTGCTGAACTCTCCAGGGTTTCCTCCCATCACTGCAGCTCCAGCAAGAAACCCAAATTTCCTCCCTGCCAAGGCGTGTACTCACAGCTAGCACATGAATATGTGCTGTAGCAAAGGCAGGACGAGAATGCCTGCAGGTGGCATCCCAATGGCATCTGTCACAGCTGTGTCCCAGGGACTGTGCTCCAAGCCAGCTGTGACAGGCTCGATCACCTCTGAAAACCCCCCTCTGGTGAGGAAAGTCTTATCAATCTGTCAATGAAAATTCCCAGGTAACTGTCCTTATTTATTCATAGATTTATTGATGTCATTTTTTCCTTGCTTAAAGGGAGTGGGAAGGAAAAGAGCCAGACCTGGACAACTCTGGCACCATTCAAGTGCCGTGAAAACAAACTGGACATTTTCTCCACCTGGATCTCCCCATTATATTCCCTATTTAAAGCACTGATTTATTCACTGCTATTTCCTGCTCTGCTAGGCACAAGCAGCACACAGATCATTAAGAACAGCCACATCAAATATTTTAGCACTATAATATTTTTGTGACACAGGGGATGGGATGGATTGAGAACACCAAACTCTGATTAACTGAATCACCAACTCTTCATTCACGTACTTCACTCACAAATATTTATTTTCTTTACCATTAACCAAGCAGCTCTGCAATTAGGTTCTGCTCAGCCAGCACCTCACTGCCAGGGAGAGGCAACTCCACCCTCCCTCATTTTTGAGCAGCTGCATTGTCCCAGACCCTCTCCAGCAGCAGCACGGGCACTTATCTGTTCCCAGCACGAGGAGGTTCAAGGAACTAAAGAAGATTAAAACTTCAGGAGTTTTGACTATATAAATTCCTCATTGATTTTAGCCCCTTCATGTCCCTTGTTATGGGGACAGGCAAATCAGGGACAGCAGAGAAGATGGGAGAGGAAGGTTAGGGCACAGTTTTACGGTGTAGCTGAGATGGACAAGGTAGGTCTACCACAGCAGCTGGTAATTCTCTGTCTTTCTTTTCAAAAGCATAAACCCCAAGCCTGAATCATCTGAATAATGCACTTGCAGAGTCTCTTGGTTCTCCATGGCCTGCAGAAGAAATCTAAGGGAATTATGCCATGGCCAGGAGAGCAGGGGGCCGTAAGCCAGGAGCTGCTGGGTGCACCAAGAGCTGTGGGGAACCCCAGCCTTGGGGCAGCACTGCCCAACAAACCCAACAGCTCCACATCAACCTCAGCTCCCTCTTGCTCAGAATAACTCCTCCACATTTCCCCCAGGGCAGGATGCAGGCAGAACAGCCCCTCTGCCACCACCACGGGGACGCTGCGCCCGCAGAGAAAAGCCAGGCACAACAAACCCCCAGCACTGCTGTTCCCTGCCACAGCTCCCTCCTCAGCAATACATTATTCATTTCAGTGACATTTCTACTGCTAGCTTAGCAAAGCAGAAGTGCTTCTTTTTTAACACATCCAAAAATTGGGAACTCTCGGGAGAAAAACTCATGATAAATTCTCCTCTTTCTGCGGTGGTGATTTATTCACAAGAGTGAGGATGCTGCTGTGTTAAATTAAAAGGAACATAACAAGTGATGCTCAGTTTTGCCAAATCATTATGATGCAGATCCTTGTGCTTTTTACAGAGATCCTGAAGTTCAACCAAAAAAATTAAACCTGGGCAGTATCTGGACAGTTGTCCTTAAGCCCTGGTCTCCCAGCCATAAGAAACAAAGACTCACTTTGCTTAGCAAGATGAAAATATCCTGCTCTGGTTTAGAACCCTGTGAACAGCTTTGCCTTTTGACTCAATGGGATTTTATCAATAACTCAGCTCTCCTGAAAGGCATTTATGAATTTGAATTCAGAACAAACAACTAAAATTCTTCATGCTGTTACAGCTGACAAACTACAAGGAAAAAAATCTTTACTTTCCCCATTTGTCCATTCAGCTGTCTGTGCACAGGTTTAGCACAAGCTATGAATTATCTTGGTCAGGTCCATCCAATAGGAACAAGCAATTTTTGTTCCATCTCTTGGCTTGTCCCTGTCTTATTTAATTAAATAAACAAACCCACCCCCAATTTTTAACCTAACCTAGATATATTTGAAACTTCTTTCCAATGCAAAATTTCAGGTTTATGCCACAAAGCTTACCTGATGTTAAAGTGGATAAGGTAGCAATATTTAGGGTTTTCTTCTTAAACAATGGTTATCTACCATCCTATTGCCTCTCTCTACAATCAAGCATACAAGCCTTACTGCAGGAAAGATACAACTTGTAATGGCCAACCAGAAAAATACACAAACACTAGAAAGCCTACAGTTTGATCAGAAATGAAATAATTTGTTATTACACAGAACTTCATTGTTTTTCTGGCACAGAAGTAGTTGAATTACTACACACACCTCAAGGACAATCATTTAAGATGTGTAAACAGATAACAGTTCCACCTAGTCAGTACAAAGCACCACACAAACTTTAAGTACATAGAAAGTTTGCTCATAAATATTTCTTTGTTTAACAATTCAGCACTAAAAAAATAATACTTAAAAAGGCATCTTTTATTAAGTTATTCAGTTTGTCCAGGGCTGGTGGGGTTGTACTATCCCTACTATATTACAGCCACGTGACTCTCTTTCCAAACCATTTTATTTCTCTGGAAGAGAAGGCTATGTGTGGCTGGGACCCAAAGCTTCAGCACAATCTATAAAAATATAATTCTTTAAGACCTTCTGCTCACATCCTGAAGGCCTACTCAGCCAGCCCCCCAAATTCTGTTTCCCACCCCTACCACATTGCAAATAAAGCTTCAACATACAAACACACACACACGGAGTACATAAATTACACTCTTCTACACACAATTTTTTTTTTTCTAAACAGCAATGCAACCACGAGGGCAATAGGTAAGTGTGATTTCAGTGGTAACATATGGCACAGCCTTCTCATATTGCTGGTTTTCTCTCTCTGAATAATGTGCTGCCTTGTTCTCTGCTCTGCACTTTGGGGGATTTATTACCATTATTTGCCCTGTGGAGGCACTCAGTCAGGAATGTGAGCACATTTTAGGAGCATCCCATCTGCCTCGAGGTCCTCTGCTGCCAGAGCAGCAAAAGCACCAAACTGGTGGCACTGGGGCTGTCACCTGGCACTGGTGAAGCAGATGGGAGTTTTCCCTGGCTGGTGACTGCCACACCACATTCCTCCCTTCTGGGAAATGGTGAGAACTAGCTGGGCTCTCCTGAAGCAGTGCCCTGGCAGCAGCAGCCCTTTGCTCAGGGCACACTCCTCCAGTGGCTGATTGAACCTCGGGGATTTACCTGAAATCTGCTCCTGCATGCATGTACAAACTCACTGGTTCACTCATTTATTGACAATAATGCACTTTCAAGAGTTTTCATTTATGTGAAAGAGCTATTTTTGGGCTGTGGTTGAACATCTTGAAGCTTAGTTTCCATGGCTGACAAATGTCTCTAATGGAGGTGTTTTAGAAAGCTACAGAACTGCTCAGCAGGCTCTCACTTACCAGGAACATGAAGAACATGTGCTTTCAGGAAGAACAGCTCTCCTGTCTGGATATCTAATCCTGGGATTCTCAACAGGAGTGGAATGACTACAGTGGATAAGCCAGTAAGGCAGCAAGGGGATGTACAAGGGATGTTTCCCTTTATGAAGAAATATTTTAGTACCAGAGTGACCAAAATTTGTAACATGTCTCAGCTTTTAAAAGCACTCTTCACCTGGACAAGAACCTTTACTTGGGAGAGGTGTTTTTCTTCAGTGTAAATACAAACCAAACCTCTCCAGGACACAAGTGGAATGACACAGCAATTCCTGCTCTCCTTAACCTGGATCCCTGCTCCTCTCCTCCTGCAAACCACCACGCTGGCAGGGACACTGCTGAGTGCTGGCAGAAGCTCTTGTTCCCACATGAGGAACATTTGTTTCCCTGTGTGCTCCACCCTGCACAGTGAAGGTAAAAATTCAGTGAGTGGAGTGCAGTTAAACACTGCACAAGGAAGACATCTCAAAATGAGTAATGGTTCTTACTCCAAGCCCCTCTTCTCAACTTGTTTGGAGGAAAACAGAGCACAACACAATGAGGTCCTACATATACAAGGTAAGAGGAACTCAAGGGAGGGGTGCAGAATGCCAGAGATTTCCTTCCCATAAAACCTCTTAAAAAAAAAAATAAGACAACAAGGATGTTACACACTTCCACGTCCACATCTGACAGTAAAATTATTACAGGTCACAAATGTGCTCTCTTCCATTAACTGCCCTTTCTCTATCCTAGGACATAACTAAGGAAACATTTAATTACATCCACTTTATTCAGCAAGACTATCAAATCATTCTTGTGCTGTTTAATTCTGAAATGATTAACATATTTAAAAATAGGATCTAACAATTTGTATGTGCACAGTATAATAAAGGTAGATGCTTTTATTACAATCTTCCTTGCCACATATTTTAAAATAAAATTAATCAATACAATCACCATAACAGTCTCAGACAACAAATTAACACCATCCAATCAAGACACAGTTAAAATACTCAAAAGGCAGGATGAGTAGCTGGAAACCTTGGTCCTCCAACTCTTTTGTATAACACATGGATTATAGATTTCTCCCCACTTGAGATAAAAATCAGCACACAAACATTAACAATTCATACTGCAGGTTTCTGAAGTGTTTCTACCGAGTGTGAATAGCACTGATTTTAGCACAATGTCTTTATGCACATCTCAATCCAGGCCCAGAGTAGATGGTTTGTAAACAACTTTTGGTCTCTCCTGCACAGGTGGCTCCAAAAACAAGTGGGTGGACTTGAGCAGTGACCACAGGCACTGCAAATCACCCCAGGAAAAGGGGATCTGACCCAAATTAATTCCAGAATGGAGAAAGAATGTGAGGGAAGTCGAGTGGACACAAAGCATTCACCTTTTATGCACCCAGGATGGCCAGGGAAGGTTATCCATTATTACAGACTCCACTCTCTGGGCTAAAGTGCTTGTTCTCCTGTCATCAATTAGGACCTTTTATCTTTAATTAAAGGTTTGCAAGTGAATCAGACAATGCTGGTCAGTCTCCTCCAAGCCCCTAAGTAAATAGTGGGCACTGTCTGACACTGAGACACTTTCCAGCTGCAGGAGACAGACAGCAGGAACTCAGGAAAAGATGCAGGAGGAGAGGAGGGAATGAAATATTAGACAGGACTATGCTGAGTCTTTGAATTTTGTTCTGCACATGAGCTTTGTGTAACTCTAAACAAATACAAATGTGTACCTTGACATTCAGAAATACCTGTTAGCCTGCTGTGGCTACAAAACATTAGCTACAGAATATATTTACAGCTAATTTCTCATGTTGTTCCTGGCAAGAGATGTTCATTCTTCATTGAAGATATAAACCTGACCTAATTTAGATCAGGTCAGTGGGAGTTTAAAACAGGTATCACATGAGCAACCCTCAGGGACTCAAGCAGCAGCAGCTCATTGCTGCAGGATCCAGCTACTGTGAAATAGGAACTTTTGCAAATTGGGCACATTAGTATGAATATTCTTTTTTAACATGGGTGTCACAGATTCTAAGGAAGGTGTGAATTACTGAATGGACCCATTCTCTGAAGAAGTGGGAAAAGATTACACCTGACAGGTATAAACTGCTCCAACAAACATATCACTTTGTCTTTTATGTCAAGATCATGGCTCATCATGGTTTATAATTAAAATCTTGTTTGCAGTGTTTGTCTTCCCAAATTCCAAACTTCTTTATTTCAGAGGAAACAGCCCTTACCTTTCTCTCAATCCTCTTGTGAAGTCTATTTATTCTAATGGCAAAATAAAATTGTGCTGTCTCACACTTACTAAAAGGGCATTGACCATTGTCTGTACAGGCAGGGAAGTTCAGGATGTTGATTCCTTCTTCCTAAGAGGGCAGAAGGTTTTATAGACTTCCACATGAAACTGTCTGTTTTTAAAAGATGAATAAAGTCATAGTTATGTTTGGAATATGGAATGCAGCACTTGGTTTATCAATGTTAGAGAGTTAAAATCCTTTCCATGTTCAACTGTTGAAACATATCACCAGCTACAGTATTTAAATATCTTTGCTGAAAGCAAGTATCTCAAAAGAGGTAATTGTCTTCCTGACACAGCTGCCCAAGCAAACAGCAGCTAACCTAAAAAGGGGGAGGAAATATTATTATGAGTATTTTCCAGCCCATCTGGAAGTTTGTGTTGCAGGGAGAACAAAATGTAAAAATGCAGCTCTGCAAAGAAAGGTTGTTCAGGGTGCTCAGAGAATCTTGGAATGGCTGAGGTTGGAAGGGAACTCTGGAGATCCTCTGAGCAAGCAGGGCTGAGGACAGCAGGGTGCTCAGGGCATGCTCAGTCAGCATCTGAGTATCTCCAAGAACAGAGACTCCACGACCTCTCTGGGCAGCTGTGCTAGTGTTTGATCATCTTCACAGTGAAGTATATTTTCCTAATGTTTAAATGGATTTTCCTCTATTTCTATTTGTGCTCCTGTCTATTTATCACTTCCTTGGGCACCACAGGGAAGAGCCTGGTTCCCTCTTCACTGCTTCCCATCAGACACTGACACGGTGGGTCACATCTTTTTACAGGTTGGGTAAGCAGCCATGAGCTCATATCTCTGTTCCTGACTGCTCATTTTAGCAATTTTGCACAACACCAAAATTATTATTGCTAGAAAGTTATTTCATGACAGTGGTTACTAAAAACTAGCAGTAGAGTCCCATACTCTAGATAAATTCCTGCTGATTTTTTTCCTTAAATTCTCAAGTAACGTGATTTTTTTTTCACTTTTGATGCCAAATGCAGGAGAGGAAATCAATCAGAAATGCAATTTCCATCCCTTTATGCAGTCTGAGACAAGTAAAGCTCATCAACTTGATCTGGATTTAACATCACACTAGACTTTATCTTGGGACAAGCAAGAACATGGATCCCATACAGAAATCCTACAGAAGTGTGAGTGTCCAATACCTGTCAGCAGAGCTGCCCTGCTGCTTTAGTATGTGCCTATGATCCCTAGGATACTGAAATGATTAAAAATCCTGTTCTGAAGCCTTATCAAGCAGAATTGTGCATTAATAATAATAAAAATGTATTTCTGTAATGTCCAATAGTTGTTGCTTGGAGAGATATTAAGAAGTTAATTTTTCTGTCTCACTGCATTTGGTAAACACATGTTAACTGAGCAGATCTTACTAAACCAAAACCACTACTTTTGCCACATTGCTTCATTGCTAAGGCTGCCAGCAGTGCTCACTACTGTTAAGTGAGGTACCCATGTAGTTCCTAAGCACATCCACCCACAATGAACAAACCAAGGCAGCCAGCTTCCAGGGTAAGAGCTGCTTTCTCTTTTGCCCTTAGTTAAAAGAGAATCAAACCTGGCCTCAGAGGCCACCCTTCTAACCAGTGGTACTGAATAAAGGCATGATTATTTTAATGAAAATGTTTCTGGAGCAAAATCATGTGGGCACCCACAGACGTGAGAAATAAGCAGCCAGAACCTGTGACAACTGAAACCGTGCAGCTGTTCATGGAGAAGAAACAGGAGCAGAGATCAGCAACATGAATGACACCTCAAGGTCACTTGAGAGTACTGAACATGCCAAACATCTTCAAAGTACTCCTACACACAAGCAGAACTGTGTGTGTAGCTTTAACCCTGCTTTGTTTCATAGCAGCTGAGATACTGAGTACGGGGGCAGGTAAGCAGGTACCTCCAGGAAAAGGGAGCATGGAGCCAGCTCCATTGGCACTAGATGCCATCTTGAAATACATTTTCCAGTCAGTCAAGCATTCCATTAGCAAATTCACATCTACAGTCTTTGGCAAGGCAGGAACATTGCTCTCTTGCCCTGGGTAATCACACAGACTAAGTGAATCTGACAGACATTGGGATACCTGGCAATATGCTTCAATGCACACTAACTGTTCTGGTTTTAAAACTGAGCAAGGCCAGCACATATGTTTGAGAGTGGATATCTGCCTATGCTGGGCACTATTTCATGAAAGTCAGGTTTCTGTCACAGATCTAAGGCAAATATTACAATTTACAGGAAAGAAATGAGGACATCGATACATTGTGCGTTATTGGAGACGTGGAGCCTTTATAACACGGTGGCTTTCACTATGATCTCTGGGTTTTCTATGTCCTTTTTGCTTTGGACCATTCTCAGTTCCAGCTGGGCTGAGTTTGGTTTGTTTCCTTCTCCAGCTTGCACTAAAAAGATGACATCAGAATGTCATTAAAAACAGCAGTATAAAAAGAAACAAATTACATTGTTCTGTTACCCCATGATTTTCTCTACCTTCCTCCCTTCCCCACTCTCCCTTACTACTCCCTGCTAAAGGCTTCCAAGGTGGAAAATCCAGGTCAGCACTGATTTCTTATCACCACTGTTCCACACCTCTCTCCAGGAAAGAAATATTGCTCTGCTGTTAATTAGGAAGTCACACAGACATGCTCAGAGAACCCACAGATTTCCTTAAGAACTGAAAGATGGGAGCTCCAAGGGGAGAGAAGCTGAAAAAAAAAACCCACTCCTCACATGGGCCAACACAGCAAAGAAAGAACTGTGATTAGCTGCCAAACCCCTCTCAGAGGGACAGTGGGTGAGCTACACTGAGGCAGGAGCTCTTTGGCACACCAAACTCAGCAGCTCCTCCAGTTCTGCTGGGTTTGCAGAGCTGAGTCAGGCACAGTCAGCACGACTGTCACCCAGCACAAGCTAAACAGTGACATCTGCAGTCGGCTCTGGCCAAAAATGGCCTTGGAGGACAGCAGGAACATGCAGACAAAACTACCAAGCTCTCATTCTGTAAATTCCCTGCCTGAGGGGATGTCTTTAGTCAGGAAACCCAGAAAGCTCCTTGAATATTTCTTCTGATGCCAACAGAACATGGGAACGAGGTCTGGATGAATTTAATTTACCTTTTGCACTCTTAATGGTCCTTTGCAGAACGTGCTGCATGGCTGACACAGTCTTTTCACATGCCACCTGCAACAACATATTGAGGGTTCAGTAAAACTTCAGCTACCTACTTTAGTATTACTTAATTTTACTTAATATTATTTCAAAAACACTGCTATTAAGAGGAAAACATGACTGACAAAACAAACATGATGACAACTATGCAATGCAGTTTGGGAAAACAAAACCTTTGAATTAATTCTCCCTAAACAGGTATTAGAACTCATAATTGTATCAAGGATTCTATGTCTTTAAGGGAAAGAAACAGAAAATTTGATTTGGGAAATTATTTTCAGTGTTTATTATGAAGTGAGGATAAAAAATGTAATTATAATCATGCATGCAGTCTGTCTCTTTAGAAAGAAGAACATCTTATTTGGCAAAATTACAAAATCAATCTAACTGAAATATGACTGTTTATAATATCCATTTTGGCAAAAGGGAAATACTGTGGCTTTTCCTCTGAGGTTAGGAAAAAAAAAGCCAAAACAGAAGACAATATTTAAATAATGTCACAGGTTAGAAATTTTTAAAAAACCTCAGGAGAAACAAGGTCCAAACTTGCAGAGAGATGAGTAACTTCTTCCCCACCTTCAAATTGTTTGGGTGTTTGTGTGTCCATGCCAGAAGCATAGCAGCAAACAAGTCTCCTGTTCCAACAAAGACAGCATCCACTTTGGGAGACTCCACTCGAATTCTCTGTGTTATCCTGGTACCATCTGCTTTAGCTACAACACAGATCCACAGTTAAGGGACAGACCCAGCAACTAATACAATAGCAATCACTAGAATTTAAAAAGAAATATTTTTAAAAGTCATCATCAGATTTGAGCTCCTTTGCTGTTTGGAACTAAAGGAGTATTGTAAACTTTGTACCAGCTCTTTTAAAAGGAACAGCCTTCTGAACCTTGGCCAGCTTGGGACAGCATTTACAACTTCTATACTGTACATACTTCATTTAAGAGAGAGGAAAGAGCTACCACCTTCATTTTTCACCCCTCATAACTGGGCCCTTTTCAGGTGGAAACACCGTGTGACAGTCTGAGCACGCAGTGAAGCCTGGTGACAGTACAGAAGGGGACATAGAGAAGGAGCAGAAAGGTATTTTATAACCTAGCAAGGGAGGAACAATCTGCTAAGAGGAAGGACAGAGTGACTTCTCAGAAAAGCATTCAATCATGCCAAGTCCCTGTTTTACATCCTTACTACCAGGGTCAGTACCAGGTGTAAGAGCCTCAGTAAACCTTGCCTAGGACATCCTCCTCCTCTGCCCAGGAGCTGCATGGAAGCTCAGGCCTGGGCACCTGAGATATGGTCCAGATATTCCTGTGTACAGCCCTTCTGTCCTGATGTACTTACTGAATTTTCCAGATTAATTTCAGAGCTGGGTTGCCTCCCTGACTCTGGATTGTCACTGGGATTTTGTGTGCCACCACCCCCTGTCCTGCTGACCTTACTCAGGCTCACTTAGGAACCTGTGCTCCTTCCAGGCACTGCTCATGGGCCTGATGGAACCACTTCAAGGAGTTACTGCAAGCACAGCCAGGTTAAAAGAGAGCACAGGTAAGGCAGGAGCTCTTCACTTACTTTTTCTGTGGCTTCCCAGAGCAATCAGGTAGTCGTTTCCTAGAGGTGCCTGTAGATCTGAGCTTGTGATCACCACAGTCTCTGGTCCCATGGCATGGAGCATATCCATTACCTTTCAGTGTGCAAAAAGGCAGGAATCAGTGACTGCAATATGTGTTGGTTAAACTTTCATTCATAATACTGAGGATTTTTAACAAACACGTTATTTTGGCATCTATTGTAAAGAGGAAAATAAAACCCCAGTCTCTAGTCAAATAATCCACTTGAATTAGGGGCATTACTTTGAACCAGGGGAATCAAAACATCCATATTTAAATGTACACACTTGTTAAAATATACAAGCATTTCTGTTTGTGTTATCTTTGGATGCTCCTCTGGAAAGAATACTCTGCGATCAGAATTTTTGCCTGCATCATGTTTTCAGAACACATTGTTAAAAGAGTAAGAGAATAAATATATAGATACGTGCACTTCATCTGGCATCTTGAAGCCAGATGAAAGAAGGCATTTTCTAGAAACCCAGCAACTCCAGGTCATGAAATCTTATTTAGCTACTACTTTTAGAGCTACCAAAAACTAAAAAACCTAAATCGGAGGCAAAAGTGTGTCTGTCTCAATCTTCTTTTCTCATTCTGTTTCAACCGTCACACTACAGCTGTAAATTATATACCTTTGCAGATGTATTTCCACTCTGTGTGTTCCTCACTTAAACTCATTAATACTCCTGACATCACAATTGGTTGTTACAGACAGAAGTGATTTTGATTTCACAGAAAAAAGAATTACTTCAATAATGAGTTTAGTATAAAACATGGATAAAATATTAATTCTCCCAGAAGAGTTTAACTAAAAACCCTCTCAGGCTAGCTATGACTCATGAGCAGCTGAATGATAAGGATTTATTTCTGCTGGTTTTTAATACTTTATTGCTTTTCTTTCTTGCTAAGCCTCCAAGTTTCTTCAGCTGTCAGACCTCTTTGCACAGACATCTGGGTTTTGGAGAAGCAGAAGATCCACCAGCACACACTGACACAATCAGTCTGTGCAGGAATATGAAACTAAATTTAATTTCTCAGTTACAATTCACCAGGACCCTCATCTCCACTGTCTCTAGTTGTAGGACTTAGTCCTTTCTATGTTAATATTACATCATACTTAATTTTATGTCAGAAGACACTACAATCATCACAGGTCTTGCTAAAGAAAGGAAAGCAAGCATGAAATCATGGAAATCAATACCAGAATTCATACCACCTTTAAAGGGGACAAATTCCAGCATGGATTATTACTCAGACCCATATATGACATGCAGCTGGAAAGAGAGATAGATTAAAATTTAATATACTGCAAACAGCTTCTTTAAAAATGTTTCCATGTCTAGGTATAATTCGATCTCCTTGGGAGAGATGTTTTTAAAACCCATCACAAATCAGAGCTATGGCATGAGTCAGTCAGAAGACTAACAGGCAAAACTGTTTAGCACATTCAGCTCATGTTTGCAGCTGAAATATGCAAATTTAAAACTAATGGCTGCTCAGCTAATTATGTTCTTCTCAAGACTGTTTCCCTTGTTGGGGTTGGGACCGGAGGACTTGATTTGCGTTCCTTGGCTTGAGGCCCGGTTCTTCCCCTTCCCCCGGCCCGTTGGGTTCTTTTAAACTTGGGGCAGTGGAAATTCAAAGAGATGAGATCTCTGTAGCTGCTTCCTGCTGTGAAGGGATGGTGACCAAATCGTGTTGTTTGACATTGCTACAGCAAAAAAACAAACATTTGGGCTGACAGACCCCCAGGTACTCTCCAGGGTGCCACTGCAGCTGCTGCTTGTTTAAAGATTTTGTGTTCTTTTGAAGTTCAAAACCAAACTGGAGGGAATGACATCAGTCCATTATGAAAGCACTTGAGTAGCCAACAAAACAAAGAGCTCAGCCCTTCTCAAGACATCAATAAAACTGTATTTCTATTTTGTCCTTCACCATCAATCCCTACAGGTTTTTATTTTCTTCACTTTGTGTGAAAGGACAAATCATTAGACCTCCATGCAATATATTTGCAGGCCATCTATCAGCTCTATATGGCAATGACAGCAGCTGTCAATGCTGTGGATTTATCTGGGAGAATGAGGAAAAGCTGTCCTCACACTCAGCATTGCTGAATGTGGACAGCAGAGTCCCAGAGAGGTTCCTAATGCCTGGGGTGTCCTGGGGTTTTCACCCCAACCAAATAATATCCACAGAGCTGGCAGTGTCTGGGTGTGTGCTGCTGCCACTCCTCCTCCACTGCAGAAAGCAAGAGATGTACTCACTACCACTTTATCTGGGGCTCTTTTGGGAGAATTCTGACAGAATTCTGACACTAAAACAGGAAATATTTTGTGCCTGAAGTGTACAAGCTTTAATGATTAACACATGGAAAGGACAGAGGCCAAAGTGACTCCAAGGTTGAAGGCAGGAATGCAGAGAGAGATGTCACACATCCCACCCTTTGCCCACTTACCTCCAGTGCATCTTTTTCCGTGTAAATCTTCCTGCCTGTGAGTAACCTGGAAATGAAACAGAAACCTGAAAAGAGCAAGAGTTCTCTCCAGGCAGTGACTGTTTGTTTGCCCTTTCAAAGGAGGAGAGCTGGGACTGCACCAAACTGGCCAAACCCATCTGTAGCTCCAGGGTCTGCTGGACCAGAGCTCAGTGTGTAAAGCTACAGACACACAGTGCTGCTGAAATGCACCCACACCAGTGCCACCCTGCCTCCTCCAGAGATCTCTGCATCACAAACATTCCCTCACAAGTGTTTTCTCACCCTCTCCCATGGAGCTGCTCCCTCCCTTTAGGGTACAGCCTGTGCAGCACCACTACAGATTATCTCCTGACCAAAGAGTCACAACCATGCAGACAGGACAGGCAGGAGACATTTAAATTCTTAGCTCCTGTGAGATGTTGCCATGCTGGTATTTCTGAATCTAATTTTGAAGTGGGGGTGGTGGTTTTGAAGCAAACTATTCCAGTTCTGATATTCTGGCACATAATAAAAATGTTCATACTAATGGGTAAGGATGTAAAAGGTATTTTTTTAACTTATCCTAAAAACAGGCCCCTGGTGATAACAAGAAATCATCATGAAAATGAGACACTGAAGAAAACAAGAAGAATCTTTTCCTCACATAACTCCTAGGTTTTTTATTGGTTTCAACATGCAGCAATTGAGGTTATCTGAAAAACACCACTTGAAACTAACAGCTAAAACTCAAAACCTAACACATACATACATAAGGCACTATATTGGGACAAATAAAATTAAGGACTATCAGTCTTCCTTGCTTTTTTCCACAAGTTTATTTGGCTAGAAAAGGAAATAAGCACTTACTCAGCTTCAAACTGGTTAGGAGTGATTATATCTGCAACAGGTACAACTTTGTCCCTGTAGACTGGCAGGAGATCCTTGGGCACATACTGGGGAGAAAAAACAGTGTCAGAAGTTGTCAGCAGTGTCAGAGATGTGGGACTGCAGCTCTCCCACCCTCAACCACCATTCCTGTTGCCATTGAGTGACCTGACAGCCCCAAGGGTATACAAGAGACATCTCTCATCCTCCACCTGGGGACACTGTCACCAATAGCCCTTTTTATCCTGGAAGGGATGGGAAACACCATTTTTAAGCAGATGGACCTAATCAGGCAGCATTAAAAGGAAATGATGCCTGGGTGAGGAACTTTCAAGTTCTCTCTTACCAAAGTGACACAGCACCATGAGGAAATACAGTGTCCCAGCTCATTCACGTCCTTACCTCCAAAGCAAAATATTTTGTTCAAAATTTTTGATTAAAAATGAATGTTTTTTTGTCAGTGTGCAACCTGGGATTGGCACACAGGACCTTTCTGTCACTGATCAGAGCCCAGAGCCCAACAGCTGTCAGCTCCCACATAAAATACGTCATCTTCATTTAGGTTCCAGGGCTGTGTCAATTCCCAAGATGACTGACTGGCAGCCAGACTACCAGCCAGAACACAGCTCCTGAGAGATGATGGGAGAACTCCAGAGAGACAAAGATAGGGAGCAAGGGGATATTTTCCTGTGGACAGGGTTTGTGTACCCTCTGTTGTCTCAGGAGAGAGCCAGAAATAATCCCAGGGCTGGGCAGCTGTCATTCTTTCTAGATACCAATCTCATTCAAAACTAAAGAAATTTAAGTACAAACTTTCCTGATGATGAGATCCAAAGCCACACTTAGGTAAAGCACCTTTTTTTTGTTTTTGTTTAAAAAATAATAAATCTTTATCCATCTTTATACAACAAACATTCACTACCCAGAGAATCCAAGCAGAAGAGTACTCACCATAGAGCCTTCTCCATTCCACTTGTCACCCATCACTGGATCACACACTAGAAAAAAAATTAGATTTAGAAATAGGGTGCAGCTATAAAGACCCTGGTGGGAGGGAGGAATTTTAGGTGGTGGCTACAGAAGAACATTGAGCACCTCAAAGTTTACACACTCTCACAGCTTTTGCAGCACACTGAAATTCATTATGTGCCAATTTTGAAAGAGTAGGTCTTAAAAAGTTCTGTCTTAAAAAGTTCTGTCTTAAAAAGTTGTCTGGAATGGTAGTATGGAGGGCAGAAACATGGGAGAAGATAACAGCTCTCAAAAGAGTCCTATTTTTACTTTAGTTTATAAAAAATACATGCCAAATATACACAGCAAAATGCCGTGTGTATATTAAATAAAGTACTGTAACAAAACAGTAAGAAAATTCATGCCAAAGTATTTGGTGTAATGATATTAACATATTTGGCAGAGCTTCTGGATCACCAGCAGTACTAACAACACACTCCAAGTGTCCTCAGTGAGGACAGAAACAGCCTAGCATTGCACTTCAAAAAGGAACATTGTTCATTGTATTAAAAGATCTTTAATCAAGATCAAAAAGAAACACAAATCCAAAGATATCAAATCAATGTCAGTATTTCAGGAAGTTTCTATGAGTAAAAAGAGGGCAATTTGTTTTACATTTTAAAAATATTTTCTTTACTTAGAATCTATTTATTAAACATACAGGATCTTAGAAGCCTTGTTGTGACCACTTCCTTCCTGCTCTACACAGTGAGATGCCTCTTTCTGTTCATATTCCAAAAGAGTCTTTAGCTTTCACACAAAGGCTATGAAGAATTTGACAATCCAATTGTGTAAATAAAGGCTAAAAAGCAACAAAACCCAGAGAAGATTTCTCTGCTATATTTTGCTAATTAAGACCTATGCTTTGTTAATTTTAAGTCAGGTATCAGTGCTCAGTACAACACCCTGCAAATCCTGCAAATCATTTGAGATGTTTCATGACCACAGTTTACTGAGCCTGGAGTTGACAGCTCAAACCATCATTCCCAGCTTTTTATCCCATTAATTCCTCACTGACTTTGCTCACTCTGAAAGTTTTGCTCAATTCAAGCCTAGTTCAAAATTCCTGAAACAGGAAAGGAAGGAAGGGAAGGGAAGAAATTTTTTCTCACAGGTTGAAGCCTGATGTGATGCATTAGTGACAACAGCTGCTGGAGCCTCTTGCTCCCTGGATAGTCCTGGGGAATATTAAAAGCACCAGAGCTAAAAAAGCCCTGGAGTTCAAGGTAAATCATGAAACTTATTCTGGGATGTTACATGGAACCATGGCAGGGTGACATGGGAGAGCCTGTCCTGCTCTGGCTGACTTGGAAATCAAGGAGAGGCTTCACTGCCAGCACACACAGCCTCTGAAGCAGCAGCAGCAGCTGGCTGTGAATTTTATTTTTTCCAGGATACAGACAGCCAGTCCTCAAGGCACACTCTCCTTTGGATGGCATAATGCAAGAACCACACTGAAAGGCAGCAAATACAGAGATAAAACCCAACTCCCTCACCACCTAAAGCTGAAATAAAACATCACTGGAGGCCCAGCTGGCTCCAGACAGACCAGAAATGTTGTGTAACATCACAACAGTGTTTCCATCCTAAAATGTGAAAATGATGAGCATACCCAATAGGAAGCAGAAAGGATTATAATGCACATCCTTACCATACACGAGGTTAGAATTCTGTTGCTTCAACTCCTGGACAATATCCACCACCATTGCAAGAAATGATGTGTCTCTTGTATACCCTTCCAGAAAAAAAAAAAAAAAAGACAACTTTGACGTCCAATTTCATGAACACTTTTGCTGTTTTTAGTTTTAGACAGGAATGCTGCACACTTCTCATTCTATGGATAAATGCATTTTTAGAGCAGAGGCATTTCAGTAGTTGACTCAGGAATAATAGGTTGGAATACAAATTCAGACAGTGCTTGCACAACTACAAGTATAACCTTAAAAATCCATTTACTAAGAATGTTGTATATGAAAGGCTCATATAACTTCAAAATGCTTGAATATATATAAACAAAGGTCAGGTTAGAAGGAAAAAACATTCCTTTTAATAAAAACAATATTTTGATCAGTATTATTTTTCATGCAGTAAACAGAAATCTTTTAAAATTCCATCTACTTTTCTCATGGTCTGTCTTGAAGCAATTTTTTATTATTGATAGTGTTCATGCTGAT